AGGGCAACAAGGGTTTCGCTCATGGTGCATAATGCAGCAGGGGATCATTACAAGCTAAGCCAGATAGAGAACTTGTTTGGGGTGGTAGGAGATGAGAGTGTCGATATTAAAGCTACGAGTTATATAGCTTTGATGAAAGAGCGGTTCAGGCTTCAGTCGGAGCGTGTTAAAGGGAACAACGCCGTAGAAACTACAAGCTAATTATTAAGGTGTATTCTACCGCGACTTGTAGTACAATAGTTATAATATTTTATAATTACCTAGTCATATTAAATAAATTAATAATTATATGAATATGCATGTTATATATATATATATATATCCAAAAGGGATAGATGTACGTAGATTTTATTTTGGGTAGAGAGGATCTGTTATAATATGTAAGGGAAACACTTGGAAGTGCCATATTGTTTTGGTTATGGATTTTGATGAGTACTTGCATGCAAGAATGAAATTAAGCCGTTATCTTTGTGACTAATTAATAGACTAAGATAATAATCATTATTCACTTTTTCATATATATGTGTGTGTGTGTGTGTGTGTGTGTGTGTGTGTGTGTGTGTGTGTGTGTGTGTGTGTGTGTGTGTGCGTATATGTGTGTATATATATGAAGAATATTTAGTTTTTATATACAATAGAATTAAAGGGGGTCCAGATACATAGAAAATATCTGCAAACATGAATGGTGTAAAAAGTAAGGTTCAATGTACAGACAGAAAATATTTGCAAACATGAATGGTGTAAAAAGTAAGGTTCGGTTTGGCTTTTCTTTGTCATTTTAAGCCTACAATAATCTTATGAATAATTAATTAGCAATGAAAATCTAATTCTTGAGAGGGTAAAAAGGTAAATATGAATATATAGATGGGTGCAATTTCCTTTTCGAATAAATTCTCCAACAAATTATAAGAGCCAACTTCAAAGAGAAAAAAGAAGATTCAACTGTACAGAAACATCAAAATTAATAATTCAAAACCTTTTATATGTAAAATGATGCTTCACATGATAGAATCCTACAGCGATGCATATATAAGTATATGCCATCTCTTCTTTTTTAAAGAGAATTTTTTTTTAAAGAAAAAGGAGCAAAACAAACACAGAAATGAGGGAAAAGATAGTCTTCAGATGACTGAATTGTGAAGGGACCAACTTGCTAAACTCAGCTTCTTGAGACTCACTTATGGAGTTAGCGAAAGCGTTTTACTAATGTCAATGGAGTGAGAGTTTGAAAATTTAGGGGACCACTGAATCAAAAAAACAAAAGATGATTTTGAAGGGTTTTTATTATTAATTAAGTGAATTATGTATAAATAATTAGTTTTAGGCACTTGAAAAGATAGATAACTTGGATGTCTCTTTAAAAAATTATGGTAAAATTTTGACGAATGTCTAGTATATAACTATGATTAATTAATGATGTATTTAATCGTTCTCGGCAAATGTTTTCTTTTTTTTTTTCTTTCTCTGAGAAATGAGAATGGCTTTGAGACCTTAACCGTTGTGAGTTTGCTTCAAAAAACTTATCTTGTCTCTGAATTAAGTAATTGATGTAGAAGTTCTTTCTGGGTTAGGTTGCCAAGTACTTACATGCCAGGTTCCTAGAGTCATGAATCTACACAGATGTGGATTAAGAAGAAAGAGGGTGAGTAGCAGAGATAATCCTGATATTACTCTCCCCGAGAAGGCATCCTTGTCCTCAAGAATACACAGAAGGACTCAATCCTTAGATTGCAAAAGTAGCCATGTCCTCCTCACTGCCAAACTTTTGGCTACACCTTTCTCCTTTCCCAGCTTTCCTGTACTTTTAGTTTGTAGCCAAGACAGGACGATTTTCTGAAATAATGGCATAAAGAATAATTCCTCCAACAACTTCAGAAAAAGCAGGGCCACCATTGACTACTTTTTGCACTTTTTACTTCCCTCTTCAACAGTCAGATACAAGTGCGCCAATAACTTAAGTCAGCATATTCAAGAGCATTGGCATTGGTAGTGAGCTTCGCTGGTAACCGGCAGTTTGTGTGAGCGTTTAGAGACGTTAGGGAGAAATAGCAAGAAAGAGAGAAGCAGAATATCGAGAAAACAGAGAAGAGAGAATAGAGAACCAGATAATAGTGAAAATGTTTTTATGGATTCATAATTCTTTACAACAGAGATGGCTTATTTCTAGCCATTGGTCGGTGATATGTAGTACATGCAACCCTAGTTCTGCACGGCAGAGTGGTCCTAACGGCACACAGGCAGTAACCACCTTGCATCTGGAAACAACAATGTAGAATAACTAAATTAAAGGGACAAAAAGAAAATATATCTTACTATGGTGTATTCTTTCCTTAACTAACTTAACTGACTTCTTCTTTCCTGGTTGTAATTTATTGGGTTTGACATAAGTCTACCAAGAACACTTGCATCATCAATCATATATGAGTCTTTTGGTGGCCTGTTGTTGAGCACATCAAACTCAGATGCTAGTGCACTTCCACTGTTCAACAGTTTGGCAGAAGACGAGCATCAATTGCTTATATGAATGATGTTTCACATGCATCCAAACATCACTAAGGGTACACTCTTGTAAAGGAATTCTAGTAAATTCTTGGAAGTAACAGCTTCTAAAATTGTCATTTCAATATGATTCTCAGCCTAACCTTTTGGTTGAGAAATTTTAACAAACACCGGTTGTCATTCATTGAATCACATCTATTCCCAACCAGTTCGATATGATATAACCCTTTTTCTACTTCAGTTCCATTAAAGTTATCAAACATCCATACTTTACAAAAAACTACGTTTCACCTTTCAAATCAGATTCAAAATTTGTCCTCACTAACATAATTATTGTCATCATAACCTATTGTGTAACACATTCCTCAACAAAAATTTTTTATGCACATCCAGTGCATATTGTTCTAATCCTAGGTCCTGCTCCGTCAATCTCCTAACTCCTTTAAGAGTTAGGAAATTTGCATTTTGCAAGAGGTAGGAGCGAGAAAATTGTAAAACTTTTCTAATTTCAAATAATGAAATACATCTTATTTCTGAGCTTTCCACGCCCGTGGAGCCCTCAATTTGCTAAGTCACTATATGGCTTGTTCCCGTGGCATTTACAGACAGAATTCTAGAGAGAGGAGAGAAGCAAACAAAATAGGAATAAATCACATAAGAAGGAAGAGAGATTTTGAGAGAAACATGATGTTGATGAGAGAAAGAAAATGAAGAAGAAGAAATCCTAGTTGCCGAGGTTTGAATAGCTATAACACCAAAATATCAGGTTCCTAGAGTCATGAATCTGCACAGATGTAACTTAGGAAGAAAAAGGGAGTAAGTAGCAGAGATTGCAGAAGAGAATTTGTGAGAAAAAATAGTAGAATGGAGATAGAGTTGAAGAAATGAGGATTGGTTAGCTCATTGTATTCTCATATTTTCCAAAACGACAATATGTTTAATAGATTGAAACTTCCCCTATACAAAAGAATCAAAAAACTAGACTAGCAAAAGAACACAATGAGTTAAGCAGTTAATAACTATAAATCAAATATCAAATAGCAAGTAGTAAACAGAAACTAATTGCAGATTTAGTGGGGAATAGAAATTCAAACCATGCATTCTGCTCCAGCGTTCGGCTACTGACACCCCAGCTTCCACTTAACACCTAAGCTCCTATGTGTTGCCTTAGATCCTGAAATAACAATATTTCTTGGATGCTTAAATCAGACTTGGGAAAGTTTATACAACTGGTTTTTCATATGTTTACTCCAAGATTTAAACCCAAGGAATTGCCCAAAAATAATGTTAGACAAAGTGAGAAATCCTTTTAGTTTAATTCAATTCGATTGCTAAACTTAAAATATGTCTCTAATGTCTAACAGTTTGAATAACTAACATGTGGTCATCAAAGATTAAAACTAATTCATATGTTGTGTTAAAATTTTTTCCTGAACTGTGTTACTTTGAAGGAGGATCACAGCTGCATTGTACAATGTATAAATGATGGTATTTCGCATGAACTAGAAAAACAAAACTTGCAAAAAATAAAACACAAAGGCACGAAACAGGCATTTTCTTGACAAAGTGACCTGCCATCCAAGTTAATATGAGTATGATAACTAAAAATGTATTTTAGTTTTACTTGGGAATGTTAATTTATTTTTTTTAAAAAAAATAAACTCAAACATCAATTACTCTCAAGTAATTTTGCCTATGTTTTATATATATATGTGTATATATATATATGTGCTACCACAATTACAAGGAAAGCAACCACAAGTTCTTTATCCAAACTCTTTGGCCATGATCACAATATTTACTGCATTGCGAAAATACAAAGTCAAATAAGAAACTTAGCAAACAGGAGCCAACTAACTAAGGAGTTTCTAAATGATCTTAAAAAGCAAAATTGTCCAAAAAGAGAATATCACTTAGTTAGATTTCCAATTTTACCTATACACGATAGTTTTTAACTATTAAATGTAAATACTGAGAGAATAATATATATATATATATATATATATATAAGTTTTAAGAACTATAACATACTGTTGAAAACACTAGGGCTATCAATTAAATTCCAAGCTCGAGTAAGCTGAAAACAATAATATATATATAAGTTGTAAGAACTATAATATACTGTTTAAAACACTGGGGATATCAATTAAATTACAGGCTCGAGTGAGCTTAAAACAGTAAAGCTACGTTTATTCAAAATCATCAATGTACCCCACTTTAACTCACTACAAACTCTTTTACTACACCAGAGTATCAGCCATAGAATTACTACAATCAACAAAAACAAACAAACAAACAAAAGAAAATTGCAAAATTATTTAAAATGAATCTCAATTAAAAGTTACCAGAAACATGAAAATATCATAAAACTGAATTAATCAGGACAGAACCAGAGCCTTTAAAATTCAACTACAAAAGTTATATTCAGTGCGTACATCGGGATCCTACCAGAAATTGAAATTCACGCCGCCGCTATCCATCCGATCGGCCGCCAATGAATCAACGACTACAAATCCCTACATTGTCCCCGCGGGCAGATCTCTGGTGCTCATTGACTCCACAATCGATGTGGAGCTTTCTTAGCAGAATGTTTCACCTTCAACATCGATCATCAACGACGATTCATCTCTTTCTCCGTCTACTACTCTCAGATTTTTCCCTCTAAAATTCTTGGGCTCATTTCCGTTCTTCTGGTTTCATTTTCTCTCTACTTAATGCTAAGGTCGCAGCCTTCTGCCTCTCCTTCTAATAGATTGGGCGCGCGGCGAGTGGCGCTATATGAAAAATTAATTGAGCTGAATATCGAGATCACTAAATTACCCTTCAAATTTTTTTATTACTACAATTTAATATTTTATATTTATTTTAAATATCTATTTTTTTTATCTTATAATAAAAATTAAAATAATTATATCATATTTAATTTTTTTAAAAAATTAATTTTAAAAGTAACTTCAATTATTTAATTAAAGTAATAAATTAATATCAATTTAGTGTTATTAATTTCTTATTATTAACTTATTTGATTTAATTAATTATTAAAAATTATTGCTAAAGTATCAAAATATAATTTAAATATTTTAATTGTTTATTAAAAATTAAAGATAAATTCAACTATGTTATAAATAGTTAATATTAAAAATTAAATCATAAAAAATGTTAAATTTTAAAAGTTAATTTAATGATTTATCAATTTTTTATTGCATTTTATTGACAGCATATTAATTATACAAAATTAATTTGGGTTTCTAATTAATTATTGATAAATTATACAATACTTTATAACACTTATGTTAACTAATTTCACAAGTAAATAAACTATTAAAAATTTAAGTGAATTTTTGGCTTTAACTAGTGCATATTCATTTTACTTATACTGTAATAGTCCGTAAACTTGAAATGAAATAAATTATAAATTAAGTGCGGAAACAAAATAATAGCATTAGAGTTTACATTATTTACATAATAATTAATGATACCCAATAGGGATACATGAATGACCATTCTAAAAAAACAACTAATAATCAAAGGAATAAATAAAAGGTAAACAAACTGAACGTCCTACTCACAATTCTCTTGTGGATCGGACTCTGCATCTTGGTCCTCTTGATATGAAATAGTTAATTGAAAGAGTGATTTATACTAATCCAGTAACAATATCACGCTACTCACCGATACATAAATAAAAATTGGTAGAAATCATAAAAGCAACTAACGAAACTCTTAATTTAAGTAAAATTAAA